TTTTTTTTTGCGGTACGTGGGCCTCTCACTGTTGTGGCCTCTCCCGTTGCGGAGCACAGGTTCCGGACGCACAGGCTCAGAGGCCATGGCTCACGGGCCTAGCCGCTCCGCAGCATGTGGGATCTTCCCGGACCGGGGCACGAACCCATGTCCCCTGCATCGGCAGGCGGACTCCCAACCACTGCGCCACCAGGGAAGCCCTATTTGTCTATTCTTATGCCAGTATCACATTATCTTAATTAATGTGGCTTTATTGTAAGTCTTAAAAATGTAATAGTGTAAGTCCTCCTACTTTATTATTTTTCTTTAAGATTATCTTGGCTATTCTAGGTCCTTTGCACTTTTATGTGAATTTTATTTTATTTTAAATAAATAAAAATATTTATTTATTTGGCCGCATCAGGTCTTAGTTGCAGCACATGGGATCTTCATCGCAGCGTGCAGGGTTCTCCAGTTGTGGTGCACGGGCTTCAGAGTGCACAGGCTCAGTAGTTGCGGTGCGCAGGCTTAGTTGCCCTGCAGCATGTGGGATCTTAGTTCCACAACCAGGGATCAAACCCGCGTCCCCTGCATTGGAAGGCAGATTCTTAACCACTGGGCCACCAGGGAAGTCTCTGCACTTCTATGTGAATTTTAGAATCAGCTTATCAATTTCTAAAACTGAAAAATTCTGCTGAATTTTGACTGAGGTTGTACTGAATTCAAAGATTAATTTAGGAGGGAAGAGAAATGGGAACATATGTATATGTATAACTGATTCACTTTGTTATAAAGCAGAAACTAACACACCATTGTAAAGCAATTATACTCCAATAAAGATGTTAAGAAAAAACAAATAAATAAAAAATGAAAATATTTGGTGGATGAATAAAAAAAAGATTAATTTAGGAAAAACTGACTTCTTTCTGATATTGAGTCTTCTTATCCATGAAAAATAATATCTCTATTTTGTTAGGCTTTCTAAAAAAATATGTCTTTTAACAAAGTATTTGTTTCCTTCATACAGGTCTTGTCAATCTTTATTAGATTTATTTCTATGTGCCTTATATATTTTGTTGCTATTATAAATGCTTTCTTATATTTAAATTACATTAATTACATTTTATAATTATTTTTGGTTTATAGAAATGCAATTTAATTAATTATAGTTATTTACCTTGTTAAACTCTTTTTTTTCAGTTATAACAATTTATCTGTGGATTTTTTTGGCTTTTCTAAGTAGACAATTATGTCATCTTTATTTTTATTTTTTTTTAAATTTTATTTATTTATTTTTATTTTTGGCTGCATTGGGTCTTCGTAGCTGCGCGCGGGCTTTCTCGAGTTGTGGCGAGTGGGGGCTACTCTTCCTTGTGGTGCACAGGCTTCTCATTGTGGTGGCTTCTCTTGTGAAGCACAGGCTCTAGGCACACGGGCTTCAGTAGTTGTGGCACGTGGGGTCAGTAGTTGTGGCTCACGGGCTCTAGAGCACAGGCTCAGTCGCTGTGGTGCACAGGCTTAGTGGCTCCACGGCATGTGGGATCTTCCCGTGTCACCCTGCATTGGCAGGCGGATTCTTAACCACCACGCCACCAGGGAAGCCCATATGTCATCTTTAAATGAATTTTGCTTTCTTGTTTTTCAATATTTATTTATTTCATTTCTTTTTCTTGCCCTACTGTGTGTGCTTGGCTGGGGCTCTATTGCAGTGCTGAACAGAAATGGTGATAATGGCTATCCTTGTCTTGTTTCTGATTTTAGAGGGAGTGCATCTTATGTTTCACCATTGAAATCGATTTTTGGCTGTAAGGTTTTAAAAGATACTCTATCCAGTTAAGGAAGATTCCTTCCATTTGTAACTGCCAGGTCTTTGGTTTTACAATGAGTGAGTGTTAGATTTTATCCTATGATTTTTTTACTTTTACTGAGTTGGTTATGTTTTTTCTCCTTTAATATGTCATTGAGGTAAATTACATTTAAAGATTTTCCTCATCTTAAACCACCCTTATATTTTTAGGATAAGTCTGACTTTTTCATGATGGATTGATTATCTTTTTTACACACTGCTGGATTTATTTGTGGCATCAATTATCTATTGCTGCATAAAAGATCAACCCCAAACTTAGTGGCTTAAAACAACCACCTTTTTTTCCCCCCACAGTTCTATGGGTGGTTAATTTGGACTGAGCTCAGCTGGGTATTCTTCTGCTGGCTCCACCTGGACTCACTTATGTGGCCATAGTTGTCTGGTGGCTGAATAGGGCTGATGGTCAAGGACAGCCGTATTCATGCCTGTGGGTTGGCAGGTTGCCCGTTGTGATACTTTGGTTCTTATCCACATGGCTTCTCCAGAAGGCTTAGGCTTGGACTTGTTCACATGGCAATAGCATTCCAAGTGGGCATGAGTGGAAGCTTTAAGTTTTCTTGAGGTGTAGGCTCAAAAATCACATCATGCTACTTCTGCCACATTCTATTCATCGTAGTAAGTCACAGGCCAGCCTGTGACTGAGTGAAGAAATAGACTCCTTCTTGATGGTAGGAGCTGCAAATAATTTGTGGCTATTTAAAATCTATTACAGTTTGCTAATGTTGTGTTTGGAATTTTTGTACTTTTCATAAGAGAGATTGGGCCATAATTTTCCTTTGTCCTATGGTCTGTGTGTAGTTTAAGAATCAAGGTTATACTTGCCTTATAGAAAGAGTTGGAAAGCTTTTGTTTTTGTTTTCTATTCTTTGGAAGATTTTGTATAAGATTTCAGTGATCTATTCCTTGAAAGCTCTGCTCCTGGGCTATAAAACTGTTTTGGCCTGGTGTGTTTTGTTTTGTTTATAGAAAGATTAACTACTGATTCCATTTCTTTAATAGGACCATTCAGACTTTCTATTTCTTCTAGATTCAGTTTTGGTAAGTTATATATATTTTGTTTGTTTTTTTAAAGAATTTGTCTATTTTGTTTGCATTTTCAAAATTACTGGCATTAAGTTGTAGATAGCATTATCTTTCTGGTCACTACTGTTTCTGTAGTTAGGTCCACTCTTTCATTCTACTTTTATTTGTGCATCACCCTTATCAAAGGTTTGTCTATTTTATTTGCCTGTTCCTAAAATCAACTCTTGGCTTTATTGATCCTATTTCATTTGTTACTACTTCATTGATTTCTGCTTTTATCATATCCTTTCTTCTATTTACTTTGGGTTTGTTTTGTTGTTCTTTTTCTAACCTTTTAAGCCGGCATAGCTCATGAATTTTCAGTTTAAAAAATTTTCAGTTAAGCATTTTAAATCGACAAATTATCCTTGAGATACATTTTGGCCATCTCCCACAAGTTTTTTTGAGTAGTATTTTCATTATTGTTGTTATAAAATACCTTTAAATTCCCATAATGATTTCTTCTTTGACCAGTAAGTTTATTTAGAAGGGTGTTTTAAAATTTCTAAATCTGGGGCTTCCCTGGTGGCGCAGTGGTTGAGTCCGCCTGCCGATGCAGGGGACACGGGTTCATGCTCCGGTCGGGGAAGATCCCACGTGCCGCGGAGTGGCTGGGCCCGTGAGCCATGGCCGCTGAGCCTGCGCGTCCGGAGCCTGCGCTCCGCAACGAGAGAGGCCACAGCGGTGAGGCCCGCGTACCGCAAAAAAAAAAATGGAGATTTGTTTAAAACTTAAAAAAAAATTGAAATATAACATAGATACAGAGAAGTATATAAAACTTATATGTACAACGTAATGCACAATTAGGAAGCAAACAACCATGTAACTACTCCCGGTTAAAAAAAAATAGAGTACCACCCAAACCCAGAAGCCCCCCCATGTCCCTCCCCATTCATAACCCTCTCCCTCCTGGCAGAGAGGACCACTTTCTTGACTTTTGAGATCGATTTTCCCTATAGATTTACCACCTTTATGTGTATGTCTAAACAATATCAATTAGTTTTGCCTGTTTTAAACTTTATATGAATGTAACCACAAAGTGTATCAATCTTTTGTGTCTTCGTTCTTTCATCCATATTGTTGGCTGAACTGTAGTTTGTTCATTTTTAATGTTGAATAATGCTTCTATTTATAAATATACCACAGATTTTTTATCCAAGCTACTGAAAAGGGATTTCCGGGTTGTTTCCTATGATCTCTCTGATGGAGGTTATCTGAAACGTGTTACATTTTGCCTTATGGACTGATATGTAGCCGGTTATTGTAATGCTCCACGTAGGCTTGAGAAAAAAAAGGTGATTTTCGAAAGATTGGGTGTGGGGTTTATGAATATTTCTAATCCCTATTGTTTTAAACCCAGACTGCCCCAGTTTTTGTGTGTGTGTGTTTGTTTGTTCATTACCTGCCTGACCTCTATATATTGAGTTTTTCATCTCTGGAAATGATTCAGGGTAAATCTTTTCTAAGATATTTTCTATATTAAGGCAGCCAGGGTTTGAGCTGCAACAGAGTGATGACTGCTAAATAGCAGGAATAACTTCTCAGCTATTTCAAGTGGAATGTTCCAGATATGGGTAGTGGGGAGGGGTAGAAGGCCTGAAGGCCTTGAAGAAGGGCTTTGCTGTGGGAAAGTGAAGAGCCTTGGGGGGGGAAGATGGATGAAGCCTCACCTTTGCATGAGGATTCTTAACACGATTCTAGGGTCAGCGTTCCTGTCACCCATCTGCTGGCCTTTTGGACCACTCGCCCACTGGCATGCTTTCCAAGTCTGTATCCATGAGTGGCATCAATTACTTCTTGGGCTGCTCAGATCCAGCTGGTGAGTAAAAGTGGGGAGCAAAGCAGTGGTGGCCCCTTCCTCTGCCTGTCTCACCCCACTCCTCAGAGCCAGCTGTTTAGGGTCCAGATGTCCTGCATTATGTTTAACCACACACCCTTGGAAACCCGAAAATGCCTTTATTCAAGTGAGAGATCTGAATTCAGGACTTTGGTATTCTGAGGCTCTCCTTCCAATGAAGGAGGACATAGGACAGAGAGAGGCTCTCTAGCTTCCCCTGTCACCAGAGATGGAGGACAGTTATCCGCAATGTACCTTGTCATCAAGAAGAGGCATTGGGAGCTCAGAGTGAATCCTCTGCCCTCGCCATTCACTGAAAAGGAACTGAGACATTGGCCTCTCAGCCCCCTATCCACACAACGCCGGTGCTCTGTTACCCTGGCTCCTAAGTTCTTCAGCTCTGCTCTGCTCAGACGCCTCCCTCCTTCCCTACTCCCCAGTGCCCGCCCTCAGGAATGGCGTCACAAGCACCTGCAGCTTGGGAACCTGATCCAGGTGGAGGGGGTGGGGGAGGCAGCCCTGGGCGCCTTTGTCTGACTTTAGCTGGACACCTTACGTCTTCTTTTGTGTTGGCAGGGAATTTGTCCCAGTCCTCTGCTGCTGACCTCAGCAAAAGGTGAGTTTGGGGGACACAGAGCCCTTCAAAGCCCTAGATGGGGGAGGGACAATGGGACTAGGCCATGGGTTTTGTAGCCCCAAGGGTCTCTGTTTCCTGAAACATTGTTCCCCTTAACGTTTCTTATGAAAGACCTCCAAATATCCTTCTACCTGCGCTGCATAGAATTCCCCTTCTTCTCATTGGCTGGGGAAGGCTAAGAAGTTTCCCGGTAGCTCCATGGGATGAAGAAGAAATGAGGGAAAGAAAAGGAGTATATAGACCCCAGGGTGTCTGTTAAATAAGAGAGTGGAGGATGACTGCTGTTGTCAGTGTCAGAAAAGTGAGCAGGCAGATTCGCTGCTGCACAATCTTAGGGACAGACGGTGACCAAGGACCATGGACCAGCTTTGGATAGCTGAGATAATCGACCAATGGGGAGTGGCCCTAAGGAGAGCTGGGCACGGGCTGTAGCGCCCCAAGGGGAGAGGGCAGGGGCTGAAGGCATATTGTTCAGGAATCGAGGTGGAGGCTGGGAGATTTACATAGTATCTATGTAAATAAGCATGCAAAATCAGCACCTGTTTCTTTGGCTCCTACAGCTGAAGCCTGATTAGAGTGGGTTAGCCCTCTAAGACAGTGTGGGTGTGTGAGCGAGTAATGGGCCCTTTAAGATATCAAGCTCTGATTTGTGGTCCTGAAAATCTCTAGCTGACACATCCTCCTGGCTCTGGGTTTGGGATTAGCTCATGGGATGGGGCTGATGAAATCCCAGGAAATTCAGTCCTTATTGGCGTTAGGCCCAGAGGCCCTTTCCAAACAGCAGGGAGGGTCGTACACAGGACTCTTGTTTTGTGAGGGGAAAACGTGCCCTTGGAGAGCCCCCCTCCCCGTATCATTTCCGTTGGGAAGCAGCATGAAAGAGGAGATTGGGCCTGGATTAGGTAGGAAGGGGGAGTCTGTATTTATCTGGGAGGAGCCTGGAGTTTTCCTCATAAATAGAAGGGCCTGGGAAACTGTAGTGACCATATCTAGGAAATCCGAGGAGGTAGGGGAGTGGGGGCCTCTTTCTCCTGAGTCCTTCCTCTCTCTTCCTCACCCTTCTCTGTCTTTCCCCCGTACCTCCCCATTCTCTCTCCCCTGGTCATGGCACTTCATCCACCGTATCTCTGGGAGTATCTTGTTGTTCTTTTCCAGCTCCAGCTCCATCTCTTCACCTCTTCTTTTTCTCTCTGCAGCTGTAGCCAACTGGAAGGGGGCTCAGGCACCTGGGCAGGCTCCTCCCTGAGACGGACCCTCAGCTTCATCTTGGGCATGACCGGAAAGGCCAAGGTAGGAGTTGGGGAAGCAGGAGGCCCGGGACCCACTGCCCTCCCCAGTTCCCTTCCCCTCCCCCTCACCATCTGCTCCCCTCCCCAGCTTCTGCTGGTAGGCAGAGACTCAGGGCAATGGTTCAAGTTTTAAGGGAACATGGTATATCTCCCAGTCTCCCTCCTTCTGTCCCAGTAAATCACCTTTCCTCTGCTTTCCCTATGTCTCCAGCTTAGCAGCCAGCTGTGGACAGCTGGAAGGGGAGATGGGCCAGGAGCCTCAGAAGCTGAGGAGTGGCCTAGCCCTCCCTCTCTGGAGGCCCCACATAGCTGAGAGGTGGGCAGCCGAAATCTTAACCATCGGGCATAATAATCATAATAATTACAGCAATACTTTTTACTTCTTCAGAGAGTATTCGGGTTTGCAAAGTGCTTTTACACTCATAATTTTATGGGTGGATACGGCAGCTGAAGGAGTTGAAATGAGACCATAGGCAGAGTGGAAGCCAGGAAAGTGTATGATTGTGGAAGCGCATACACACCGTACCAGTGGGGCCACGTGCAGTTCCGACCCCAGGAAGGTGAAGGCACGTTGCTCTCTTCCTTATTACCAACACCCCGGCTCTGGTGAAACTAGGAGCTCTGCCTGCTGCTTGAATTCATTTCCACTCTCTTCATTTACTGGCAGAATGAGCCACTCCCCTCTTTTCCTCTCCTGGCTTCCCCAAGTATGCATGTACTTTCCCACCGGGGCGGCTCCTGAACATTGAGAGAAACCCCAGACAAGACATCATCAGATTCACCTCGAAGCACCACGGGATCCTCACCCAGTAAGGTTGCCTGGGCTCCTCCTGGCCCCGCCGGCAATGCCAGCGCTCTCTTCTCTGCCAGCCTTTCAGCCAGGATTCTCCTTCCTCTGGGTGGGCAGGGAGGGCAGAAACAAAACCAGGTTCTCAGCTCCTTCTCATTGCGGGCCGCAGGCGGGGAGCTGAAGCGTGAGATCAGGCAGTCTGAGAGCAGGGCGAGGTGGGCACAGTGAGGCTTCTTTTCTGCCGTGGGGGGGAGCAGAGCTCTCTACAAAGAGAACAAAGCCAACACCCAGACCTTGGGTCTGAGTCCCTCTCCCCACAGCCTCTCTGTTCAGGGTAGGAGAGTCTGACAGCAGAATCACCCTCTTTTCCTGCAGTAGGAATGGTAGAGGAAGTCGGTGCTGTCTAGGGGCCATCCAGATCGCAGTTGGTCTGCATTTGCCCGCCCTTGGCCTAGCAGTTTGGTGAGGGGATGAAGGAGAAAGTGGGCAGAGACTGAAGCCCAGACAGCCAGCAGGAAAGAGCTAAGCGTCGTCAGGACATTGTCCCAGTCGACTGCCTTTCCTTGCTAGGACTGTCGTTCTGTCTTCCTGTTTCCCTCTCTGTCATCTCCTGGTCCATCTTGCTTCCACCCTCATGAATGTGTGTGCTTGCATCACTAAATCTCTTCTTCCCCCTCCTCCCAGCTCAGGATAGGGGCCATAAGCAGGTAAACACCAGGGGTGGGGGTGAAGCGAAGCTCAGTCAAGCAGTGAGAGAAGGAAGTAGCTTATTCCTTCCTATTTGACTAGCATTGTAGAGTTGACAAAACACTTTTCCAGAGGTCATCTCATTTAATTCTTATAACACTCTGGCAAAGATAAATATTTTAATCTCTGTGTTTTGTTTTGTTTTTAAATCTCTTACTTACATTTGTTATTATTTTTAAAATTAATTAATTAACTTATTTATTTATTTTTGGCTGCATTGGGTCTTCTTGGCCGTGCGCGGCTTTCTCTAGTCATGGCGAGTGGGGGCTACTCTTCGTTGAGGTGTGCAGGCTTCTCATTGCAGTGGCTTCTCTTGTTGCAGAGCATGGCCTCTAGGTGTGCGGGCTTCAGTAGCTGTGGCTTGCAGGCTTTAGAGCACAGGCTCAGTAGTTGTAGCGCACGGGCTTAGTTGTTCCGTGGTATGTGGGATCTTCCCGGACCAGGGCTCGAACCCGTGTCCCCTGCATTGGCAGGCAGATCTTAACTACTGCACCACCAGGGAAGCCCCTTAATCTCTGTTTCATAGACAAGATAACTTAGAGCCTAGGTTACTCTCCCAAGATCCCACAGTTAGCAAAAGGTGGAGCTGTATTACAAACCTAGAGCTTTGACTATATGTTGTTGTCTCTGCTTCTGTCAGTAAACCTACGTAATAGTTTATCCCGTCTCTTCGCTTCTTCCACCATTTCTGATGGATGGCCATTGGAGTCAATAATGCCTTAATCATCCCCTCCCAGAATACACAAGGTCCAAAGTAATAAGAAGAAAAGTAAACCTCCTCCTGGGAACTGTAGGACTTGGGCCCAGGTATCCCTGTGGCTTTCTCTGCTCACCTACTGGCCAAGACCCTGACAACAAGGTTCTTCCCTGGGATGGCCTCCCTACCCCTGAAATGTGGGGGACATATCTGTTAAGTTAAATGAGCTAAAGAAAGTGGTGGCTACTTTTAGATTCTGGCAGAAATCAGGGTTGGCTTTTGTTTTTGTGTATCTAAAAAAATAATTTCTGAAAATCTGGGCAGCATCACTGGATAGGAGGAGCAGGGATTGGGATAAAAATGGTTTGGAAGAAGGGGCAGGGGATGCCAAGGAGAAAGGAAAAGGGTTCACTGTTCCAGAGGATACAGAAAATGGAAATTAAGTCAAGCTGCAGGCCTAGCTCACTAAAAGCACATGTGTTCTTAAAGGTAGACCGGTTTCCTTTACCCACCCCGCAAGTCCCCTTCCTTACTACTCATCTCTTAAGAGGAAGGAGAGGGCATAGGGTGAGAGGCAGGGTAACAAAGAGCAGATGGGTGAAAAGTATATTGAAGATTGGGGTAGGAGACAGAAGAGGGTTGGAAGATTAAGTCCTCTCCTTTCATAGAGACCATCTACGTTGAGTTTGGGGATTGAGATCCTTCACATAACTCTGGGATTCAGGCCCTGGGTTTATTGGGTATCCAGACTGGAGTTTGGCCCTTTAAGATTCCATCCTTAGCTTGAAACACCCTCCCACCCCAGGCCTGGGAGAAAAGCCGAGGTCTCAGCCTACCCCTTGTCTCAGGGCCCCTAGTGGGTGGAGCCGTGAGGCCAGGATTCTGGCTTCTGGCAGTCTGTTTTTAAATTTAGTACATTCCTCAGCCCTGGCTGCCCACTGGGGGGAGGTAAGTCTGGGGTTCTGGGCCCAGGAGCCTCAAGACTGCTGGTTTGGGGGAGTTCCTAGGGCCTTCCTGTAGGTCTCCCCTGCAGGTACAAGCCTGGAGGAGTCAGCCTCCCTCATGGCCCAGGGAAAGTCCTCTCTGCTTTCTAATTTCCATCCAGCCTAGAACTGGGCATGGTTATTTTCTCTCCTTTTTTTCTGGTCTTTGCTATATAAGGATCC